TTCGGGGCGCGGCTCGCAGGTGGCCCCAAGCCAGGCCCGACGAGGGCGGGGCGAGGACGGCGCCTGGCACCTGCGCAGGAGCGCGGGGCGGACCTCGGCCAAGGGCAAGCGGGCGCGGCCGGCTCAGGGCGCAAAGGCATCCCCCCTCGGCGCCCCTGCCTGCACGCGAGGGTCCAGGGATCCCAGGGCCCCAGCAGTCAGGGCGGGGCGGGGCCCTGGCCAAGGCGGTGTTGTGTGCGTGGATTGAGTGAGAAGGGGCAGCACTCAGGCAGGGGCCAGGTCGGACCCCCCTCTGTGGTCTCCTGACCTCGTACCCCTTCTCTAAGGCAAACTGTTTCACCTCCTGGCCTCCCCCGCCTTCCCCCTCTCTGGGGCTGGGGTGGGCAGACTTGAAATTCAACGCAGCCTCGGGGAGTGAATGGGCTGGGCCCTGGACACCGGCCCGAAGAGGAAGACCAGCCCTTGCCAGCATCCTCGAACCACTGACTCTCGGAACCTTAGGTGAGCTGTGTGGCTTGAGTAAATCTGCTGCCCCAGTCTCTAACCTGAAGGCCAACTGGCATTTTGTAGATAAACCAACTGGTGTCCAGAGAGCAGAGAGGGTTCCTTCGCTACTCAGCGTGAGTCTTTGAGTCGAAGCACCAAACACGCAGGGGTGTGTATCCACCCAGTTCACCCTCAAGGCTGTGCTGTGAAGCAGCACCCAGCACCTAATCGGCGCTCAGCACACTGGCGCTGGCACACATGCAGGGGACCCAGGTGAGGCCCTTCCGTTCCTTTCTCCAGCTCTTTGTCTCTAGAACTTCAGAGCACTGTACCAGGAAGGACCTGCCATGGGGACCCTGGCAGCTGTCTGCAGTGGCATTCCCTGTAAGGTTCCCTTGTGGGACAGCGCCTGGGAAGGCCAGTTTAATCATAGCCCCAGGTGGTTCTTAGGGTGCTGCAAGTCTGATAAACACAGGCGGTGTTTGATAAAGAAATGGCCTCGCTTATCTTCCTCCTTGGGAAATACTGTGTGTTCCTGTTAACACAATGCCAGATTGTAAGCATTTCCCAGTTTTAGAGGACAGCTTTTGGAATGATACAGATAGCTAACAGTGCCCGTGATTGCTCTCATCCTTAATGGCCGCTAGCTGATCCATGCTACCAGAGCCACGCTAATGCGCAAACTCGTAGTATGGCAGCTGCGCTGAGGAGGAAACTGAGGCACAGAGCAGGTGAGCCCTTTGCTCCGGGTCATGCGGATGGTAGGGCGTGGATCTGGGATCCAAGCCTAGACAAGTCAGCTCCAGAATCAAATTTATTAGCCACTGTCACTCAAGAAAAAAAATGCAAGCACTTTTCATTATATGTTTATTGGAAGTGATGTTGAAGTGGTTTTGCAGGAGAAAACGGTGTTTTGTTCATGTAAATACATTGTGCTGCATTCTGAAACAGGGTAGGAAGTGATGTGCCCTGAATATGCATCACTAGTTCAATTTCATTTGACATCCAAGCATGTGGGGTGTGAGAAAATGCGTGGCCTTTGGGGGAGCAAGCCGGTCTGCAGCTGCCCTGACTCTGACGCGGGTGCCCCTCCTCCTGTCCGAGTAGACCTGTGCTCTACCGTGTTTCCAGTGGCTGCTTTTCTGAGGCAGACCACCAAGGCTTTCTTCTGAGTGAGCTCGAACCACCAACCTTTTGGTCAGTAGCTAAACATCACCATCTGCACTCTGCAGGGACTCCTTGGGGGAGTAGGCATTTGGTTTTTACAATATACTGGATGCTCAATTGTGAGTTGTCAACCAGAAAAATCACACCCACTACCATGGAGTCCATTCTGACCCACAGCGCCCCTAGAGGACAGAGTGGAACTGCCCACAGGTCTCCAAGGCTGTCAATCTTCACAGAAGCAAAGCCCAAACCACACCCACTGCCTGGAGTCCATTCTGACCCACAGCGCCCCTAGAGGACGGAGTGGAACTGCCCCACAGGGTCTCCAAGGCTGACAATCCTTGTGGACACACTGCCCCATCCTTCTCCTGTGCAGTGGCTGGTGGGCTTGAATTGCTGACCTTTGGTTAGCAGCCGAGTACCTTATCCACTGTGCCACCAGGGCTCCTTGTGTGAGTCATTCAATATGCTCAGGTAACATGAGGTGTGAGGCAGTGCCCATGGATGGCAGCACCCGTGTGTAAGACTGTGCTCACGCATCCCCCTCCCTGTGCCACCCCCCCCCAGTGGTGCCACTCCGTGTCTGCTCAAGCCCTGACCTCCCAGTGGCTCCCTGGGAGGCAGGCCGTTTAGAATCACGGACAGGCCTGCAGTCCGTGTAGGGCAGACCCTTGCCCACATTGCAGTCAGGCCCTGGGAAGTGCTGGCAGCCCCTGTGGAGTCATGTGGTCACTCAGTGGAGAGCCCTGAGGAGGGCAGGCACCGTGTTGATAGAGGCCGTGGGAAGACACAGGAGCAGCAACTTAAGACGACTCGTGGGGAGGGGAGAGCCGCTGCGGCGGCTGCCACGGGCCGTCGGGTCAGCCCCGACTCATGGCGACCGCGCGTGCCATGGGGTGAAACACCGCCCAGTGGGAGCACTGCTGTGGTGCACGGGTTCTCACTGATCTGAGGAAGTCGTCGCCCGCCCTGTTTTCCTAACCCCTCTCCGTCTAGAAGCTCCGCTGAAACCTGTTCAGCACCCTGGCAACACACCAGCCTCCACGGACAGACAGGTGGGGCCTGCACGTGAGGTGCTGGCTGAGAACCGAACCCCCGTCTCCCGCGTGGAAGGCGAGAGCTCTGTGCCTGAACCACCACTGCCTCCCAGGGGGATGCTAGGGTCTCCGTCAGTGATGTCCAACGTGGCTGGGGGTTAGCCTTGAGACCACACACGGACCTGAACAGGATTCACACCGAGTTGGGTCTTGCTTTGTCCTGAGACCACAGTCACTGAAGGGGTCTCTGGGACATCACAGACAGTTCTTAGCTGTAGTTAGCCTGGGTATGCAGCACCCCATCTCAACATCCGTATCAGCCAGGACAGGCTTGACAACACAGTGGTCACAAACAACCCCGAGTCCTAGGGGCTGCACCAGTGTGGGCTCCTTCTTACAACTGTTGCATGTCCACTGTGGTCCTTGGGGTGGGACCTGGACGGATGAGCAGCCACTGCCTTGAATGTTCACAGGCGACAAGCCACAGGGAGAGCTTATGAGGGGCTCACAGTGGTGGTGGGGTTAGCTGCTGTCAGTCAGCTTTGACTCAGGGCTACCCCGTGTAAACAGACTATGGTAGTTATGTTTGTGTGTCACCTTGGCTGGGCCTGGTTGAGCGGCTGGGCAGCTGGTGGTAGTTATTCCCCGTGATGAGACTGGCAATCACCTCCATGGTGGGATCTACCACAAGCAGCTGAGTCGCTGCCTTTGGGTTGTGGTCTGCTTCCTGTATATAAGGAGAAGCTTTGAGAATAGTCTCTAGCCTATGGCACACATGGACCCTGCATGTAGCTGTGTTGTTGCTCAGCAGCCTGCTATGCTCTGCCGACCTTGGGACTTACAATGGACCTAAGTTAATGGCCTGCTGTGTGGTTTGGTAATATTAGGACTGTGCCTTGTTACTTGTCAATCTTGGGGCTTGTCAGCCTCAGCAGCCAGCAGCCAGCAGCCAGCAGCTGTCTGAGTGAAGCAATGCCTCTAGCTCCAGTGGGCTGGGAGCAGGAGGCAGAGCTGGACCCCAAGGTTGAAGGGCTTTCACCCAGCTCCTAGAGCCTGACGCTTTGAACTTGGACTTAAAGCCTCCAAATTGTAAGAATGAACTCCTGTTTGTTAAGGCCGTCCCTTTGTGGTCTATTCCTGTCAGAGCGGCACTGGGGAACCAGAACACAGACTGAGGCACTGCCCGGTCCATCTTCACCATGGCTGGGAAGCCTGTGGCCATGGTTGCAGCCACAGTGTGCAGCCATCCACCCTACGCTCACCTTCCGGCACCGTATTGGATGGGGCTCTCTTGTGATCCACAGCATCTCAGGCAGGTCATTAGGTCTCTCCCCCTTGTCTGTCTCTGTCTGGAAGCTGCGGAAACCTCTCCATGTGTTTGAAATGCCTGCTAGTGCTTGAAATGCTGGTGACATCTCAGCAACATGCAAACCTCTACAGCAGGACAAACTGACGGACAGGAGCTGGAGGAGGTGCTCACACCTGCTGTTAGACACCCAGCCTAGAAGTGGTACTTAGAACTTCCACTCACAGCTTACTGGCCCCTGACCACAAGCACAAGTGGGCGTGCTGACCTGCCTCGTGCTCAGGGTGAGGAAAGCCGGGGATGCTTCGGGGACTAGATTCGGGGTCACCACTGTGACTGCCCGGTAAACCAGGATTTTCCCAAACTC